GCAGAAGAAGATTTTTTGCGATCTTTGAGAGACTCGCGTATAAGTATTCGTTCTTCTCGTTTACTGGTTAGACGCTTTCTTCCACTTTTTGATATACTATTGTGGGATTTCGCCTCCACAAATCGCCTGAAAGCACATTAGACCGCGCACCACCAAATTGACTATCTCAACCTGGGACTTACCTTCTTCCCTTGGAACTTGAATTCTATCATCGAAACTAATTTCACTTTTTTTAAGCATTTCGGTAAATATGAACTGTTTTTATAAGATTGGTAACTTAACACTAAATGTTATTTACACTTTCACTTTCAAATTTTAAATGCGAAAATATTGTTGCGGAAATGCGAGGCGAATGTCAGACGAAAGAGAGAAGCCGATTACTAGTACATTCTAGAACGATAAAATGAGAACCTTCGATAGCGAACAACTCGATTATTCTGCACTTTCGTCTACGAGCAGCCGACTGCTATATAAGGGCGACACTCAGCTGCCAAGAAGTCAGTTACAAAGTGAACTCGTTGGCGACAACATCAGTAAAGTCGTAAAGTAAACGCATAGGAGATTACATTTAAATAAAGTAGATTGTGAAAATTTATGCAAGTGATTGTAATAGTAAAGTGCATTGTAATTGAATTGTGAATTACTGAGTAAATAAAGGACATTGATAAATTTCTTGTAAGGAAAGAAACTGCAAATTAAGTTGGCGAGTTTTATTTAACAATCCAGAGATCGTACCCGAAGGATTCAGAAAATCATCGAGGTTGATTTAGCAAAATCGTAACAATATTTTATAAATTTCTTAAAAATTACAATTTTTAGGTTTAGCCTACCCAGACTTTTAATATTACACAATTTATTCATTTAATCAAGTTATGCTGCAACTACCCAACTCACGTACCAGCCGTCCACAGTAACCTATCTTAAGAGAGCGCCATGTAAGCACAAAGTTGTCACTGCTTGCCCATGCCGTTAGTGACGGTTGTCCCGCAGAAACCAACGGCGATTTGATTTTTTCCGTAAAACCGGTTCGGCTCATTTTTCGTTGCTATACAAGGTTGTCAGTATAGTCTTCCTTAAAGTAACATTAAATAATCGAAAAATATACTAAATGCGTAACTAATTATTTGTTACCATATAGATCATGTATATTTGTCTTGTGTTTATATTCAAGCGTATAAATTATGAAATTTGTTGACGAAAATTATGAATTTGGTTCAAAAGTGTGCAAACACACTGGCAGCTGGCAACATTTCGCCGCTCTCAGCAGCGTCGATAACTCGTGTATGTATCTCGTCTTGACGTCGCCAATTATGGACGGCTGGTAAGTAAAATGGGTAGTTGCAGAATAAAACGCCCATGTAAGACACGTACAAATAGAAGTGGTAACTTTGATAGCCACAATTGAGAATACTTGTATTTTAGTGGAGTGCCTAATACTTTTGGCCAAGGCTGTGTGTGGGTCTATTTATCGGTCTGTTTGAACGAAAACTAGTATCTCAGTGTCTGAGATATTACAACCAAACTTGGTAAGCAGAAGCATTTTTATACCGCACGGATCGTTTATAAAAGCCCCCACACAATTGATACTTTCTTCAAAAAACGGTCTGTATCCAATTTGTAAGAATAAGCATGCGATACAATTAATTTGACATGTTAATGAAATATGGAGAAGACAGAACTTCTTTCTGGTTTTTTCCTTTTATACACACATTTTTTAATTCGTAGACGTAAATTTAAAATAATAAAAAGTGTTTAATATTAAAATTGTACATATCGGCCGGTTACATTTTTCTTGGTATGTCGACCTCTAAAACTTTTGTCGCATAATAAAGCTCATTTAGTGGATCAAGGCGAATTTACAGAAGTTGAAGTTGTCACATTATATGATTGCTTGTTCTTCCTTCCATTTCAAAAAATTACACAAATAAAACACATGAAAAATAGGTTTTGGCATTTCGAACGTTGGTTTACACAAACAAAATACAATGAAAGATTTTCATTTTTAACTTTTCGAAACTATGATTACACAAGCAAAATACAAAGGATTTTTTTTTTGTATTCTTGCTACTACCATGTGTGAATCTGCCTTGAAATGAATTTGAATTTTTGAACTCATAATAGCATTTAGTTCAAGGGATATATAGAAAACTGAAAAGTATTTGCCAAGCAATTTTTTATATATTTGGTTGCCCAAAAAGTAATTGCGGATTTTTCATATTGTCGGCGTTGACAAATTTTTTCAACGGCTTGTGACTCTGCAATTGCATTCTTTCTTCTGTCAGTTATCAGCTATTACTTTTAGCTTGCTTTAGACAAAAAAAGTGCGCGAAATTTCGTTTACATTTGTTTGTTTGGCGTCAATTTTAATATGGAGCCCACAAAGGAGCATTTTCGTCATATTTTACTTTATTATTTCCGTAAAGGAAAAAACGCGGAGCAGGTTGCTAAAAAGTTACGAGATGTGTATGGTGATGAAGCCTTAAAAGGAAGACAGTGTCAAAATTGGTTTCGCAAATTCCGTTCTGGAGATTTTTCACTTAAAGATGAGCCACGTTCAGGTCGGCCAAATGAAGTTGATGATGACCAAATCAAAGCATTAATCGAATTGGATCGTCATGTAACTGAGCGTGAGATAGGAGAGAAGTTAAATATACCAAAATCAACCGTTCATTATCACATAAAAAGTCTTGGACTGGTGAAAAAGCTTGATATTTGGGTACCACATGTATTGAAAGAAATTCATTTAACACACCGAATCAACGCTTGTGATATGCACCTTAAACGCAATGAATTCGATCCGTTTTTAAAACGAATCATAACTGGAGATGAAAAATGGATTGTTTACAACAACGTTAGTCGAAAACGATCATGGTCCAAGCATGGTGAACCAGCTCAAACCACTTCAAAGGCTGATATCCACCAAAAGAAGGTTATGCTGTCTGTTTGGTGGGATTGGAAGGGTGTCGTATATTTTGAGCTGCTTCCAAGGAACCAAACGATTAATTCGGATGTTTACTGTCAACAATTGGACAAATTGAATACAGCCATCAAGGAGAAGCGACCAGAATTGGTCAATCGTAAAGGTGTCATATTCCACCAGGACAACGCTAGACCGCACACATCTTTGGTCACTCGCCAAAAACTGAGTGAGCTTGGCTGGGAACTTTTGATGCATCCACCATATAGCCCTGACCTTGCACCATCAGACTACCATTTATTTCGATCTTTGCAGAACTCCTTAAATGGTAAAACTTTCGGCAATGATGAGGCTATAAAATCGCACTTGGTTCAGTTTTTTGCAGATAAAGGCCAGAAGTTCTATGAGCGTGGAATACTAAATTTGCCAGGAAGATGGCAAAAGGTTATCGAACAAAATGGCAATTATATATTTGATTAAAGTTCATTCTAAGTTTTATTAAAAATGCATTTACTTTCTTTTAAAAAATCCGCAATTACTTTTCGGGCAACCCAATAAGTTTCAATTCAGCAAATTTTGGTTTGTAGAGGTAAGTTCAAATTCATATATATATATTATATATCGATACAACGCTGGAGTCCGCTGATATGTTAGGAAACATTCACTTTGCATACGGTCATATCTTATGGGCTGAAGTCAGGGCCGCCGAGAGAAAATCGGTTCCCGGGGATAATTCAAATGCGGCCCCCAAAACACCTTCATTTCATGATCTAACAAATATGTTTATTTGTACTTACACTGCAAATCAACGAGTTGGGGATTAAGATAGAATAGAACTTGAATAAAAATGAAAATGAATGAGTAATCTGGAACAATTTTTGTTTAAACAATTTCATTACCTTAGTTTGCATCACAATAGTATTTTAATAGGTAGCAACCCTCAAAACTATGCCTTCCTTGCTTTAGCTGATGCAAAATTCCTCAATGATAATACTGAAGTCAAGTGTTCTACCTAATTGAGATTCCAAACATAACGTTGCCAGTCCTGAGACTCGAGATTGGCTTGAACAAGAACGATGATAGTTCTTTATTCTTGAAAGCACGCTAAATGATCGCTCGGCGCTAGCAACTGAGACTGGCAACGTGAAAAATATATGCAGAGCAAATTATTCTATATATGACAATGAAAACACCGGGCTCCCTTGCAATCTACGGGCCCGGGGTGAAAAGTCCCCCATCCCCCCCTCCCTCTCGTTGGGCCTGGCTCAAGTATTTCGTTGATCTGCGATGAGTAAAAAAGTTATAATCCAAAGAAATTGGCAATTTTTCCAAAAAAAAAGTCGATTTCTTTATAAGAAGTTTGAACACTTATAAAAATTTCTTATATACAAATCTTTTAAATTAAAGGAAGCTCAAAAGTAACTGCTGACTGCTGATTATGATTGGTATAATGTTTGGCACGTGAAAATTGTACTCAGTAAATTTAGTGTAGGTCCAAAAAGCGTCTTTAAGGCATCACGAAACTCCTTAGAAAATCTCAGTTGTTGGGATTATACAACTCCAGATAAAATAAAATACGTTATATTTTCCCACCTTTAAAGAAGCATATAGACATTAATATTTTTGTTTCGTAATAAATGTATTCAGTTAATATTTTTTTTATTTTCCCAATAAATTCTCATCGTAAATATTTGTTTAATATCTCCGACTGTGAAACAGCAACGAGTTCATTTATTAAAATTTTGATTGCAGCAACGCATAATAAACAGCTATTTTTTTTTTAGTATAGTCAACAAATTAATAAAGGCCCGCAGTTACATAAGTGTCCAAATTTAATATAAGCTAAAGAGTAAAGAACGGTAATTATTATATTTAAGAACAGTAATTTGTTATTTACAATTTAAATAGGATTTTAATTCAAAAAATTATACAATATAAAAAAATAACGCTAATTAGGCATAACATTTAAAATCGGTTACATTAAGAAGTTTAAAGTTAATAAAAAAATTTCCATATATTCATATAGACCGAAAAATGCATTTTTAAAGATCGAAACAAATTAGAAATTACACAAACTGCTTTTTTTTTTTTAGAATTCATATACATACATATAAAAAAAAGTTAATTTTTTCGTCAACATTGTTACTGTTTGCATACATATTATTTATGTATTCATACATTGTTCGTAGGTATGTGTGAAGTCGTGACTATTCCTTTACACTTTTAGTTAAACTATTTATCCAAAAACTTTTTCAAAACATTCATGGCAATATGGCTTGTCGTTTTGTTCCTTGAATGTGCCCTTATTCAACTGCTTCAAGCAAAAGGCGCACACAAAGTGTTCCGGATGGAACTTCTTGAACATGGCAGTAATACAACGTCCAGTGATGGGTTTCGAGCAACCGGCACATAATGAGCCGCGTTTAGCATGGTAATGTGTCTCGCAATAGGGTAGACCTTCATGATCGAAGAAAGAGCCACCTTGGAAGGGCCGCCGACAGTCCTGAAATGTTATAGGTAAAATGTGAAATTAATTTTCATGTGACAAAATAATAGTATTACATATTAATAGCGTAAATAAATATGCGCCAGAATAGCTTTAAAGAAGTAAGACATATTGATGTTTGTATGTGGAAATTAAAAAAAGAATCAATAAAAAAAAAAATATATTTTTTCTTTAAATTGGCAATGAACAATACTGTCCCCACAAGTTTACTAATATAAAAGGTCTCCGGGGTTTTTGCCACTATTTAAGCTTAACCCTCTAACTGATATGATTTTCTCTACGAAAGAGCGTTTTTATTGGATGAGTGCATAAGTTCGTGCCCGATTTCAAGTGCAAACTATTGTAAAATTGAAATTTTTTGAAGAAAGCACTTTTATTAATCAATCATGTATTCGCCATCATGTTCGGCAATCCACTCCCAACGTTCAACCAATTTACGGATGCCTCATTCATAGAAATCGCGCGGTTTCTCGTTGAAAAAGGTGTCAAGGTGGTTTTTGACGTCTTCCACATTTTTAAATTTTTTTCCATTCAAATTGTTCTGCAGCGATCGAAACAAATGATAATCAGAAGGTGCAATGTCGGGTGAATATGAGGGATGCGGCATGATTTCCCAATTCATCTCCTTCAGTTTGGCCAGAGTCGGTTTTGCAATATGTGGCCTGGCGTTGTCATGATGGAAAAGAACTCCTTTGCGATTGGCCAAAATCGGACGTTTTTCATCAATTGTTTTCTTCAATTCGATCAATTGCTGACAATACTTGTTGGCAGTGATCGTTTCTCCAGCTGGCAAGAGCTCAAAATAGATCACGCCTAGGGTATCCCGCCAAATGCACAACAGTACCTTCATCGGATGCAATCCACCTTTCGACATCGGTTCCGCCCCTTCGTGTGCCAGTTTCCATGTTCTTTTGCGTTGAACATTGTTGTACAGGATTCATTTTTCATCACCTGTCACGAGCCGATCCAAAAAAGTTTCGTTTTTGATCCGTCGAAGCAAAGAAATTGCTGTTGACATACGGTCCACTTTGTTTTTTTCACTCAACTGATGTGGCACCCATGTATCGAGCTCCAAAGTGTACCCAACGTTTTTTAAACGACGAAACGCAGTTGATTTGTTGACGTTCAATTCACTGGCAACCTCTTCCGTCGAAATACGTGAGTTATTCGCAACTAAAGTCCTTTGAAAATCGTCATCAAGCTCAGAAGGCCGTCCACTGCGAGGTTGATCTTCGAGGTTAAAATCTCCAGAATGAAATTTCGTGAATCATTTCTTTACTGTGCGGAGTGCTGGAGCGCGGTCCAAATAAACTTCGCGAATATCTTTAGTTGCAGCGCCTACTGTTTTTCCTTTGCGGAATTCGTATAACATAATATTACGCATATGATTTTTTTCGTTGTCCATCTTCCATGCGTCTTTTCACTAAGCAACTCAAATCAAAATGAAGTTATTTTATGCTTGATTTACAGTTCGGACTGTCACCTTTCCAACGATATATAATATGTATATATTTCTTTCACGAGCGCCACTCTCAAACGATTCGAACGGCAACCAGCGGAATCGGGCACGAACTTATGTACTCATCCAATATATTCGCCGTATGAGAGTATCTTAAGGGGGTCAATAATTACGCATTGAAAAACATTTTTATTACAAAGAAGGTATAATTCAATCGTTATAAAACTTTGCACACTTTTTGAAATATAGATGAGGAATGTAAATTTTTTTTTTCTTTTTTTTTGAAAAGAGGATGGCGGCTGTGCGCTGGCGTAAAGTCGATCTCCAAAAAAAAAAAACGGCAACCACTCTGGTCGTCGTATTATATTTTTTGGCTTAAATATATGTACATGCAACTTGTCGGTAAACCTTAAAAATTAAAAAATATTAAAAAAAAATATTAAAAAAAAAATATTAAAAAAAAAATATTAAAAAAAAATATTAAAAAAAAAATATTTAAAAAAAATTAAAATAATAATAATTCTGCGTAGAAGTTGTTGTGAAAAAACGATAATTTTCACTATTTGTTCAGCCATTTTTGCCTTAATCATTCAAGGTATAAAGAAGAAACCCAAAAAATTACAGCTAATTTGGACAAGTATTTTTCGAGTAATTGTGGTGGCCAATTTTATAAATGTTGTTTTGAGGAAAACGCGTTTAAAGTTTTGAAAACCTGCTATGCGCTGAAGAAGGCGTTCTCGAAAAATGAAGAAAAAACATATAAGAGGTACGGTTTTCATTCTGAAACTTTTTGGACCGGTAGAATAGGAAATTTCCTACTTTTTTTAAAGGAACAAAAATTTTTTTTTATCTTCTAAATAATTGTATCTACCCCCTTAACGTGTTTATTCATAAATAGTAGAAATATCAGATGATGAGATTGCGACAACTCTTATCTGGCTTAAACCTCAATGCACACGCGGTAAAGTTTATTTAAACAAGGAAGGAATTCCCTTGAAAACGACCCTAGGTCGTTGGGATTGACATGACTAAGGTCAGCACAAAATAGGTGCGAAGAATGATCACGTCTCCCCAAAAACAACACCGCGCAGAGTGTTCGCCTGCATTTGCTTGTCCACTGGAGACGAAACTTGGGGTTTTCATTATGAGCCTGAATCGAAACAAGACTCCATTCAGCGGGTAGAATCATGGCAGTGGTCTTTTTGGACTCGATGGGAATATTATTGGTCGATTATAGAGGAAAAAAAAGAGCTGAGGGGTAAAAATGTATAGCCGTTGATGAGTCAAGGAGACAGTTTCAGCGCATTTTGAAGAAAAAGGTATGAAGGTTTTAATAAATTAATTGAAAGATAAGAAAGAAAGAGAAATAATTTGTCTTTTCCACCCCACACCTATCCACCATTCCGCGAAAATAAAAACGTTCCCTTTCTTAACATGTTTTTGAAAGCTGACAATTAAAGCAATATTTTTGGTTAGAACAGTTCGAGTAATGGTAATGTGTTAAAAGTTATTTTGATCACAAAATATCGTTATGCGATGTTTTTTTTTTTACCATAGCAAAGAAAAAGCGCTGTGTGATGAAAAATTTTCAAAGTGAGAATATTGCGATGGTCTATTCCGTCCGGGAAATTCGGAGGTCAAAGATCAAGTTACTTATATCAAGAGATTGCGGTGACAAAGGTTGAAAAGAAGCTCGATATTTGGAGTCATATGAGTTAACGTAAACAAAACATAAGAAAAAAGAAATGAAAGTTATGGCATTTCATTTAAGGATTAAATGTTAATTCTCATATCTGAAAATTTGTTTGGAAGTAGTCATACGAAGATTTTCGGTGTTAATGTTTATTTATATATCGAACGTATTGTTGCGAAAATGCGAGGCGAATGTCAGATGAAAGAGAGAAGCCGATAACTAGTACATTCTAGAACGTTAAAACGATAACCTTCGATAGCGAACAACTCGATTAGTCTACACTTTCGTCTACGAGCAGCCGACTGCTATATGTATAAGGGCGACACTCAGCTGTCAAGAAGTCAGTTACAAAGTGAACTCTTTGGCGTTAACATCAGTGTAAAGTCGTAAAGTAAACGCGTTGGAGATTACATTTAAGTAAAGTAAATTGTGAAAATTTATGCAAGTGATTGCAGCTAGTAAAGTGCATTGTAATTGAATTGTGAATTACTGAGTAAATAAAGGACATTAGATAAATTCTTTGCAACGAAAGAAACTGCAAATTAAGTTGGCGAGTTTTTATTTAACAATCTAGAGATCGTACCCGTAGGATTCAGAAAATCATCGAGGTTGATTCAGCAAAATCGTAACAGTATAATGACAAATTTCAAGCTTTTAGATGTGTTTTTTTGTCGGAGTTCTGACCAAACCCTCACTTTTCAACAAAACGGTGTAAAAGAGTTATATGTTAATCGTCTGATTCAAATCATTTTTATAATTCATTATATATACACATGATCTTGTATACATTTTTGATGGATTTATGACACATAATCACAAATCGATATCTATAATAGTCCGATCTAGCTGGTTTCAACAAATGATTGTTTAAACGTAACTCAGCATCTGTGTACCAAATGTGGTTGATATCTCAAAAACTGATCGACAAGTTTTGAGAATCAACTCAACTAGGTTTAATGGTGGTTTCGGTCTAACACCTCAATGTAGTTAACCTTTTCACGTCACTCGAAAAGTTTAAGCGAAAACCACAAATTTTCCTACCACGCTTACAATGTTTGGTAACTGTAATTTTTCAGAAGAAGTGTTTAAGTTTTTAATCTATAAATATATGCACAAGAAGATGAGAACTTGAAAAATGCACATATATCATACATATATTTAACAGTATCTAATTATACTAACTCGTAGATCAACTTCACTATTAAAATGTTCTTCTTTTAAGTTTTAAAAAACTATATATAATACATTACATACAAGGTGCGCCATATTGACATTGATTAACTTTGTTATTTTTAAGCCGATGTTGCCAAATGAGCAAGATTTATTTAGGATATACTTTGCCAATTATTTGGAATTAGTTTTCGATTCATTCGATACATAAAGAGTTCTTCCTTTTTATGCACATTTGNACGGCCTGGCAGATCAACATTTTCAATCCTTCGAAGAATTGGAAAAATGGCTTGCTTCATGGATGGCGTCAAAAGAGGACTCCTTTTTTCGAGCCGGGATCCGAAAATTGCCGGAAAGATGGGAGAAAGTTGTCGCTAGCGAAGGACAATACTTTGAGTAATATACAATATCTGTAAGCACTTTTTCGCAATAAAGCTTCGAATTTTGGGAAAAAAACGGCGGAAGCAAAGTTGTACGATATTGTTATTAGTGCTCAGATAAATATATACGAGTGATCATTTTTATCTTCGCGAAGTGAAAGGCTACTTAAGATCGTAATGTGTGCAGTCCCTCACAATTAGTATAAATACGAGGTCTCATTGTTATTAGTAATTAGTTTTTGCGCTATCTCCAATCAGGCATCGAGGATCAATACAACTATTTTTAAAAACTTGC